TGTGCCCTCAGCAGAATCAAATTTGTCACGTAGTAGGTTTTCCATTAGGCTGGTGTCAGAGTCCGCGATCCGTCGCGCGATTCGCGCGAATCGCAAAAATCGCAAGTGCCCCATTTGAACATTTGAAACACTGAATATGAAACAAGTAGAATCATGAACAGTCGTCATTCAGCCATCACCATCAAGCAGAAATGGCGGCGGGATTGGAGAGCACCTTGCAGTATTGATCGGGCACTTGTGATTTCTGTGATCCCGTCGCGCGAATCGCGCGACGGACCGCGGACTCTGACAACACCCTTAGATATTCTGGGATAGTTACTAATTTACCTTACGCATTCTTTTGTGGTTTAGCTTTTCATTTCAACTCTTAGGCATTGACTCACCTTCAATGCGTAAAGAACTTATAAATGAGGTTTCGTCTGTGTTGGGAAGTACATCAGCAGCTGAGATGTTTATCAGCTTCCTTAGTATCCACAACGTGAGTCTTGCAGCATTGGTGATTCCTTGTTTACTAAAGTTTATGTTTAGTCTTTCCATAATCCATCTTAGTCGTCTTTCTAGAAATTGGGAACATTTACGAATTCTTTCTTGAGCACACTTGATTTTGTGGAGCCTTTTTCCGCTTTTAATGTTTCCTGTTGAGGTTTTCCGATATGGGAAGTAATCTCAGTGTGGTTCTGCGTTCTCATTTTTCGCATACAGTAATTTCCTAAACATATCCGATGCAAAGAAAGTTCAGAGTGGATCCATCTTTTCGTTATTTTTTGTTTTACATCGGCGCTTCTCATTAGAAGTTTTTGTATGATCTTCAATCAGTTGACTATCACTCTTTTATGTAATTAATAACGATTTTTTGACTTATTTGTTGTATTTTAGGTATTCTCGCCCTGGTGGAACACCGTTGTGTTTTCTACCATTGAACATTGTTGGCGTTACAGACTCCGAAGTAGCTCATAAAATAATTGAAATGGTGCGACTTTTGATGCCTAAGGTAATGTTTAGATTAAGACGGTTCTGAAGAATTTTGTGAATTTACATTTTCGTCTTAGGTATGTTGCACCTCACATCTGTCAAATCTTTTTAGTATTTAATGATTTCTGATATGCCCTAAGTTGTTTCGAAAGTTGACTGGATCATCTGTCAATCTCACGTGATTGTTCGAACTACAGTATTTCCAGTGGATATATGTATTTCTTCAGGTGAAGGTCGTTACTCTCACACCTGAGCTGCTTTCAACAACACGTTTTGCACCTGTAAAGAATTATGAATCTGATGTACTGCATCAAGGAGAACTACAGTTGAGCAACGGCACAGTTCTCATTTTTGATGAGACTCAGCTACCGAGTGGTTCCTTCCCTGTCAGCGGTTTCGGTATGACTATTTTACAAATATTTATTTCATTGATTATCAGTAAGTATCCAGGCGATTAGTATCAAAAGAATATCATTTTATTTCGTCATATTTCCTATTTGATGAGGATATTTCAAAAAAGATTAACTAACCCTTCTTCTTGTAGTTGAAGAGAACTTAAAAGTGCTAGAGGAGCTGCTTGTTGAGCACAAAATGTCGTATGACTATGGATTTTATAAAATTCCTATGGATGTCGATCACAATGTCTTGATACTGTCAAAAAAGGAGTCCAGAATTTTTAAAGGTAGGAGGAACTGTTTCTCAATCAGCTGAGACTGCCAAGGCAAACCTTGCCTAATTAGGTTATAAAAAAAAGGATAAAGCATTTGCCGTTGATCAATCCCTTTTGGGATGCGGCACGCATTCTACTTCCATTTGTACATTCGTAGTGGCGTTTGAATGCGATGTGGCCTATACAATGACTTGCGGGGGCCAGCCGATGTACAAGTCAGTGTTTTTATCCTCCCAGACAAGTCTGGTACCAATTAACCGACCCCGGAGGGATGGAAGGCTTGGTTGGCCCGGGCGACTCACGACCCAGGATTTGATCCCCGGACCGCTCGCGTGGTAAGCGTGCCACTTGCCACTACACCACTTCCGCCCCCACCTTATGTCGCAGAAAATTCTTCGTAGTTTTATTCGCAGTGTCGTTTGCCAGATGTGGAAGACTTGAAATCAGCGCACGAAGAGACATCAGGGGGTACACATCTGATTTCAAAAGGCCACTCTGACCTACCATCCCTCCCTCGTCAGTCAAACTTCACGTGAACGATGACCTTCGTGCAGAGTCAACCGTCCGTTGTTCCATTCCCAGGAATTTGACGACTCCCTTCTCTTAGGGGGCTCTCATTAACCCCCTCCCCTACTGCGACTCGGCGTGCTGCACCACGTACATCACATCGTACGCATTGGCCAACTTTTGTGCAGTGAAGTAGGCGAAAGAATCTGTATGGCCGATGTCAAACTTTGCGAATCGAGGGATTCGCTTTAGCGATTCGCTAGCAAACCGTTTTTTGCAGGCTTGACGTCATTTCCGGTGTTCTATAAGGATCGCTTTGTTCCCTAATTCACACGGAAATGTGTCAAGATAGTCCTAGTCTTAGCGAGTAGAGACCATTATCTGATAACGAGACCGCTTCCCACGCTGTTCTTTAATCGAAAGAAATGCCTATTCAGCTTATGCGGTGACTAACTAGGGCACGTAATTCCGCGTCTTCCAACCAGTGATAAGCGATTGAATCCGCTTATCGGTAAAACATATAAGGGCATGTCGAAAGAGGCGCTTGTACATACAGGAAGGCAATTCGTCTGTTCAGAGCTATGCTTTCTCGTGGAATCGCATTACTGTTCGCTCTCAATTACGGTACAGTCACTATTTGGTCCTTAACAATGCCTTTTTTTCGAAGGCAAGCTAAGATTTCGTTTCTATGTTGTTCTACAATGTACTAGTTTGATTCCGAGCTTCCGAAACACCTTTTGCTACAAAATTTCCCATAGAATACCCAATTTTTGAAAATACCTCATGAATTGATGTCTGACCTGAAAAGTTTGCGATACCGGCCATTCATTCTGTTTACTGCTTTTCACGGCTAGTACTATAATTTCTTCAAAGGCAGTGGTCACGATGCTAGAACGATAGGGTTCTGATGATGTCATTTAACGTCAATCGGTAGAAGGCGCCAGACGCGTTCTATCCACACCCACATGGCGCGCTGAGAGGTCTTATCCAACAATCTCGTTTTCAATTGGACGTCATGCCCAACGCACCGCCCTTCAGCCAGTCAGTTGACCCCTGGCCATTGAAGGCAACACTCGAAAATCTCACCGTTGAGACTGTTTTAGGCAAGCTGTTGAAAAGGGCCAGCAATGCACATTGGACAGAAAAAAAGTCTTTCAATACAGGACGCATTCGGCTTGTAAATCGATTGATACGGAAATCAGCTGTTAACACTTTATAGCAAGTGTTTCAAGATGAAAGCAAAAATCTACCTGCTTTCTGAGACCGCCGTTCGACTGTACATGAGGATAAAGCATTTGCTGTTGATCAATCCCTTTTGCTGGAATGCGAACGCATTCTTACTTCATTTGTACAGATTCTAGCTGACGTGAATGCGATTGTGGCCTATACAATGACTTGCGGGGCCAGCCGATGTTCAAGTCAGTGTTTTTATCCTCCCAGACAAGTCTGGTACCAATTAACCGACCCCGGAGGGATGGAAGGCTTGGTTGGCCCGGGCGACTCACGACCCAGGATTTGATCCCGGACCGCTCGCGTGGTGAGCGCGCCACTTGTCACTACACCACTTCCGCCCTATTCCTAGAGACATGGAAAGAAAATTTCGTTGGCAACCTGAGAACTCTCGAGCGCGGCGAGGTTGTTCGGCCTTCTAATCAGAGCTCTAGCCTCGCATCAACGGATTACCACTTTTATTTCTCCCTGGCTTACCTTCCTGTAGGAAGAACTTTGCGCTAGTCATGACCTCCAAAAAGGCATTCAGTATTCGCTCGACTAGATTCCATAAGAAAGAGTTGAACTGCTGCTCACGCACCGGCGGCAGGTTGTAAACAAGGATGATGCGTATTATGTTGAACAAATGAGGATTAACAAAAATCAATCCAAAAAACAGCTGAGGTGGGCCAGAAATCACGAACCGACGTAATAGATCGAAAAACATAACGCGCACTGAACCTCTTGGTACTTCCACTGTTTCCTGTGAAGGGGCAAGGGGCAAGCGACGATTTGGCGCCCAAGAAGAGTAAGCTGCTTCATATGAAATTCTTTCCGTAGTCAGTTGTAAGCAAATATTGACTGTACCCACCGAAAGCTATTCAGAGTATTTTAGCGTACGCGCTGACATGTCCAAGTGGCTACGCTGATGGAGACGACATCTGCCTACAAGGTCAAATTCATTATTTATGCGGGTTTGGAGCATTCGGGGTGAGCCTTACATTTTCAGGTGTTCACCAATCGTACCAGTTATTTTGCGGCTTCCGCAACCTGTGAAAGTGACGGTGGCAGGCTGGCTTCCATCCATAACGCTTACGTAAGTACTGCTTCTTGGAGAAGACTTTCCGGGCTTTCCATCATAATGCCAGAAAGTCGTTACAGACAAACAATTTCATACAACAAATGGCCGAAAAGGAGGGCATCCTCGTTTGGCTTGGTCTAAAATGTTCCGATTCGGTCGCGAAGAACTGTCAATGGGACGATGGCAAGGGCCCTTCGTACCCATATGATGCCTTCTACCCAGGTAAGCCTGTCTTCTGCTAATCGAAGCTGAAGAAATGACCTGCCTTCCAAGGAATTCAGCCTTTAGGAAATCCGAGCGTAACCGGGAGCTGTGTACTGATGATGATTGGAGGACCAGCTGATGGCAAATGGATCAGTGGTGACTGTGACAATATGCAAATCGGCTTCGTTTGCCAAGTCAACAAACAAGGTATTCACTTCCCTTGACTACGACTTTTTTGGAATGCAGTTATTGATGTGTTTTGCGTAGTAACTATCGCTCCTAGCAACAGCTAATCATCTGTAGAAATTTGGCTGACGTACGCTGGGTTTGACCTGGGATTTGATCCAGGGACCATGCGCGCGGTAGTGGCCCCTCTTGTCACCACACCATCTCCGCTCGAATGAATATTTTAAAAATATGAATCGGCAATTCAATTATTATTTACAAATGCTCATTTCAGTTTTACAAGCGTGCGAAACATGAAAACTACTTTTTGGGAGCTGCGCACACTGGCATCGGTACGACTGATCTTCGTAACTCATCCGGGGAACTCGCCTTTTTGTGACGATTTGTGTGAGAGTACGAATAATTATAGTTCCAATGCGTGGCACGGTTGCCCATCAAGGCGGGCGCTCATCCATAAATCCCCGATCTGTGGAAGTTCCCTATCACTACGGAAGGGGAGTACAATGGTATAGTCAGAATGTTCAAATGTAGTGGTCACGATTGCTGGAGGGCGGTACGGTATTGATGACGCCATCGAACGTCATTGATGGACTAGAGCCCTCTCCGCGCCTGGGGGGGGGGCCGTGGTTGGGGACGCATTTGAGTCCGTTCCACCGAGAACATCACAACAACAGCAACGCTCTTCAGCCATGGTGATCACTGGTTTTGAAATTGATGCCAGATATGTATATGGAATCATTGGCAGATTCTTGTGGAGATTTCATCGAATATGGTGCTGAGTGCTATCGTGCATTCGATCAGCAGCTGTCTATGTCTGCTGCTGAGTCGACTTGTGCTGAACATTGTGGCCACCTGGCCTCCATCCACGATCATGATGTGAGTACTCATTTTCTTCCGTATCTTACTTTACCTACTCCGGGTTTACTCCAGGGTTTCCTCTCAAATACAATGGAGATTGATGGTACCATATGTGCAAGCCCCGGCCTAGCATGGGAATATATCCCCGACGAACTTTCATAAGGTTCGGGAACATATCACCGACGCTGTACTGAATAAAACGTCGGGGATGAATCCCCTACTCTCGATCAAGGGATTCGTCGTTGACATAGCCCTATCCCCGACCATGGCTTGCGGTTCAGAGCTTGAGTCTCCACAAAATGGCCGGCCCCCCTTCGTCACTGAGGGGGGGGGAGGGCGCAGCAGTGCCCAGCGGAACATTTCTTCGTAACAGAGAAAATCTTCCCAATCTTCTAAAATTTGCATGAGCAATGCTGAACAAAAATCAACGTTCAGCTTCACTAAAATTCAGGAGAATACGATGATCGGTACGTTGTTCGGAGCCGACGCAAACTACGCAGCAATCGGCCTTGTGAGGCAAAACAGTGGGTCGTATAACTGGACAGACAACACCGACTATGACTACAACAATTTTGGTGAGCTGAGATCAGCGTCTACTGACGACGATATTTATGGTACACAACAATTGCAGGCAACAGCAACCCAGCGTTCGGACAGTGTGCGGGCGATGTCTTTAGTGAATGAATTGGTGGACATAGGAAAGTGGATTACGGTATCATGTGGACAGGCATTGCGTTTGTATGTAAGAGAGGTGAGTTGAGGAAGCTGGACGTAGCTCTTTGGCTCAGGATACCATCTCGCACTTGTTTGACAAGTTCAGGTATTTACGTTCGGTGGACAACGCCTGCAAGCTTTCGGGCGTTGTTGACTGTCCATTATTGTCTAAGGAAATAGCAACTTTCGGCTATGCCTCATGTGATCCCTCTCAGTTCGTTCAAGGTCAAAAAGGCGATTTGGAATGATCTAGAAGGGGAGCACTGGCCCATTCGGCATAAATGGCTTCTAATGCAACGCGTTTTCTCACAGAGCTCACGAGCCTCATTTTCACCTAGACAGAGAATTAGTGATACTTCCTCTGAAATCTTCAGAAAATGTTTTTAAATGAGAACGCCGGCCATTAAATCCTTCCACGATTTCAAAGGCAGCGATTACGATAAAGAGGGAGTGCATCGGGGAAGCATATGCAGCACACGATGCAGTTACTTGGCTTGATTTCCAGCACGATAAATCAAGGAGGCGATGTGTAATGTTTCACGAACGAAAGGTGCGCTGGTTGCCTGAGTAGACTTTGAAAGCCTCCGCCAAAAGCGATCCGCCCACCAGTTTACTTGTTGATTTGGACGAGCTGCGTGGCTAGCAGCGGCGCAAATGGAGCATCCTGATAAAGGTGCGTGATTGGCAATGGTGCCATCGAAACGCGTTGCGGTGAACTCGTTCATACCTCCTCTCTGAGCCTGTTGTTGATGTTGATGAACAAGGCAGAAAAGTGCGTCGGTTTTGCGTTTTTCTTGACGATTTTTCTGCTACTTTCGCATGGTTACCATGGAGCACGACACATTACAATAAGCCTTCCTGATTTTTGTTCTTCGAATTGGCTGCTTTAATTTGCATTGTTTCAGAACGGGGTTGTGTGTGAAGACAACTACCACATCTGTCGTCACCCTTGCCCCATCAACATGTGACACACCACAGTTCTTCGACGGGAGTGGCACGGTTGGTTTTAGTCTCAACGTTTCTGCGCTTCATATGAATTGCAATAATTCAGTTCTAGTTCTACTCACCTGGATATCCGGCCTCCTCCTACCAAGGAGCAAAGCCCTGTGTCTACATTCTGACTGTAGATCCTGAAGACCTGGTTCAAATTCATTTCATCGATATTTCGCTCAGATGTGGAGCTCTTGGGGAAGCTCTCAACAGCTTCTCGACACTGTTCCTTCAAAATGTACTGTCACGAGCACCACTCTCCATGATTCTGCAAGGTTAATTTGCTTTCAGCATAACTGACAATGTTCCACCTTCGGCCTATTTCTATCTCATCACGTGATGAAGATGATTTATCGGGGCGGAGAGAATACGCCGCTTGGACAGATGGAAGCGAGTTCTACCAGAATTCTGGGTGAGCAGCATTTCGATGATTCAAGTGCTTTGAGTGTAGCGTGTTTTTAACTTATTCGTTGTTTATGTTTTATTACTATTTATTATCGTAGATGCCGCCACATAACTACCAGGAACAATTAATTCTATTTGGCTATTTATTTACTTATATTATTATTTTATGTCTTGAACATACGGATAGTTTATTGCACAAAAAGTTTGTAAGAGAAGCCACATTTTGCAGCTACAACCGTACCTTCCGTCACAGTGACCGCATCTCCGAATAACACATCTCACTGCAACCAAGCGTCCATTATACCAACGAATGTAAAGTTCAAGCAATTATCCTTCTATTTTATAAAGCGCTAACTTTGTGTGTCGGTTTGTATGTATGTGTGTGTGTGTGTGTGTGTGTATGTATGTATGTGTGTCCGTCCGCAAAATGAAGTGAGTGAGAAGGAAGCTCATGGGATAAACAAACCGCTAACAAATCGGGTAGCTTACAGGATTTGAGATATCAATGTTTTGTAGCAGGATAGTTGTGATAACACTCTTAGGGCTATATAAACACCTGCTTAGCACACTTCCGTTCATTCCACATGGTGCTGCAGTGGCAGCTGGAGGGCAGTGGAGAGAGGAAGGGAGGATGAGGAAGGGAAGCGAAAAATCTACCGTCATATCATGATTGTGTCCCTTCTACTGTATGAAACACCATTGTGTTGCATACGCGTCACTTCCAGGAGGTGTTGGTGTCACAGGAGGAAGGGACCATAGCGGAGGATAGAAAGCTTGCGCAGGAAAGGAAGGTCCCGGCGGTTGACGGGGGACTAATCTGGTAAAGGATAAAGGATAAGCATTTGCCGTTGATCAATCCCTTTTTGGGATGCGGCACGCATTCTACTTCCATTTGTACATTCGTAGTGGTTGAGCGTTAGGAGATCAATGATTGGGGCCGCCATGTACGAGTTCAGTGTTGTTCATCCTTCCAGACAAGTCTTTTGCCATACCCGACCGGAGGATGGAGGGCTTGTTTGCTCTGGACGAGGAACGACCGGTTCGATCCCCGGACAGCGCGGTTGTAGGTTGCTTTGCCACAACCACTGCCGCCTTTGTAGGGGGTAACTGTGTTGGTGGGGCCAACTCCTTCATGCGCCATACATTAAAATCGCACATAACCAATAAGGTCGCGGCGTGAAATAGACTAGTTCATCACGTTCGTCTACCTTACCATCATTAGTAAGGTATATGAGCGTTGACATTATGCATGCTCGATTTTCCCTGGCGAGGAATAGGGCGGAAGTGGTGTAGTGGCAAGTGGCGCGCTTACCACGCGAGCGGTCCGGGGATCAAATCCTGGGTCGTGAGTCCCGGGCCAACCAAGCCTTCCATCCCTCCGGGGTCGGTTAATTGGTACCAGACTTGTCTGGGAGGATAAAAACACTGACTTGAACATCGGCTGGCCCCCGCAAGTCATTGTATAGGCCACATCGCATTCAAACGCCACTACGAATGTACAAATGGAAGTAGAATGCGTGCCGCATCCCAAAAAGGGATTGATCAACGGCAAATGCTTTATCCTTTTTATGGAAGTATATGTAATTGCTTTGGTTATTGATCAAGCTGCACCTTCATCTCCAAGAAAACCTTTCAGATCACTAGTCCAGGGTATCCTGGTAAGTATCCAGCACTCACTCAATGCCGTTATGAACTTACGACAACTCCAGGGAGCAGGTACTTCCGATTTCGAAAAACTTCACAGCTTTTTCTAATGAATGGATGTCCGTATTAATGAAAATTCACTAGGATATTGCTGACATTTGGACAGATCGACACCGAGAAGTGCTGTGACATCATCAGCGTGTACGATTATGATGAAACCCCTTACAATCCACTTCTGGACAGGTTCGATCCGCATTATGAGACAATAGATTCTGCGGTTTATAAGAAAACCTTTACTTGGTTTAGGTTCAGTGGACAGATTGCGGCCGGAGTCAAAGTGTTCACATCGACTTTGAACCAGATGGTCGTTGAATTCTACACAGATTCCCTCGATCAGGGATCGGGATTCTCCGCTACTGCAGTTAATGCTCCCTAATGATCAAATGGACATTTAAATAGCCTTCCAATAGAATCTCGAAGAAGTTGCATG